GTGGCCCGCCCAAACTCCCAGATACTTGGAGCCTTTTTAACATCCTCAGGGATTCTCATAGGAAAGCAAATTTAGCAAAGAGAGCAAGAAGATATAAAAAACTTGCCCTAGCTGGTTTTAGAGCGTCAGCCTGCAGACTGAAGGGTCCCAGGTTTGATTCCAGTCAAGGGCACACCCCTGGGTTGCGGGCTCGATCCCCAGTAGGGGGGCATGCAGGAGGCAGCAGATCAATGATTCTCTCTCATCATTGATGTTTCTCTCTCTCTGTCTCCCCTCTCCCTTCCTCTCTGAAATCAATAAAAATATATTTTCTAAAAAAAAGATATAAAGAACTTGCTGTGGGAAAATATATGTGAGAGAGTCTACCTAAAAAAATCCCCTTTGGGGAAGTCATCACTTAAATTATGAAAAGGACTTTATAAATCCAACTAAGCCTGCTCTGCATAAAAACGGCGATTGCTGCCCTGGCGGGGTGGCTCAGTCGGTTGAAATGTCCCATACAACAAAAGGTCTTGGTTCAATCCCCGGTCAGGGCACGTACAGGAGGCAACCAATCCATGTTTCTCTCTCACACCAATGTTTCTCTCCATCTCTCTCTCCCTCTAAAATTAATAACAACAGAAAAGCTTCAAGTTAAATAAGGATTGAAGAAAGTGGCAAATAGCACTCAGTGTATACTCCTGGGTTTGTAACGGAAATATTTTCCTGCACCTAGGAGTCCCGACAACGAGAAAGAAGATTGTAAAGGATGCACCTCCTCTCACGTGGGCTCATGCAGAGCTGGCATTTCAACTTGAGACACGTGGAGAATAAAAGTCTGGTCAGAAAATGACCGTCTTCCCTTTAGAGACTCAAAATAAACTGACAATAAAAATCACATATACATTGCACCGAACCCGAACTCCAGCGCGGGGCTGCAGTGGGAGCAACACGTGAATCTGAAACACAACTTTCTCCATCTCCCTTTCAGACCTGCCCCTGCCCCTGCATGAACACGCGGGTCCAGGGCGTTCCCGGCCATGAGATGACGGGAACTAAAAGTGCACAGTCCCAGTGAAAGTGGACACTTCTAACTCGATGAGTTAAACCTCCTCCTCGCACCCATCTGGCAGGTGCATCTGGCCCGTGGCTCAGGGTGGGAAGGGGGGCTGGAAAGTGCTGATCCGAACAGCTCCATCCCAGGTGGCTATTGTATGGGGGGTCAACCAGATGTTTCAACCGCGCTCTGAGTCTGTGAGTTCTTCAGAGCCCCCACAGGACCCAAGTGTACTGCCCTGAGGCACCACTGCCCTCCTTCTACCCAGAACCCACCCTTCTACCTCCTGGTTCATAGGTCAACATTCAACCACTGGGCCACTCTGGCCGGGCTCCTCCCTCATCTCTTTGCCCCCCACCCCCCACCCCCCCGTTCCTGTCTTGTCTAAAACCTGGTTGCACTCGATTCCTTGGCTCGGGCTTCCTCACCGGGGGACAGCTGGAGCAGCCCCTCAGCCCTCTGCCCACCACAGGCTGCCCTCTCAGTCTGCCCCACACTGGCAGCTCTGTCCCACACGGCTCCGCTCAGAAGCCTGCAACCACCCCTTTTCCTGCCAAATCAAGTTCCAGCTCCTGGTCTGCCATCCATATCCTATCGCACACGCCCGTCTTGTCTCTCCTCCTCCTCGTCCTCCTCGTCCTCGTCCTCCGTCCCACTCCTCTCTTCTCACACTCGAGGGCAGGCGGACCTCTGGGCCTTCCCAAACAGCCCCCTCACCCACCAGCCCCATCTCAGCTCCTTAAAGCCTCCCCAACGTTCAAGTTCCTCTAAAGACGCTGTGAGAAGCTGTGCCTGGCTGGGCTGAAGTCCCGCCACCGTGCGCCATGCATGGCAGATGCCTGGTGACACTTGTTGAACTCAATGAATGGGACCCACTGACCGACGTTTATTGTAACACGGAGAAGAGGAAAGTGAGGGCAGCCGGGGCCTCCACATCACCATGTGCCTGTGTCTGGGCTCGCTTCTCTGTCCCCCAAGCTTGCCGGGTCCCATGACTTTCTTCAAATAGGCGCAGAGGCTCTGCCTGTCCAGGAGGCTTCCGTGGCTGTTTACAAGGTGTGGACTCACCTTGGTTCCCTGAGTCGGGCACGTGAATGAACACGGTCCCAGCATTAACTTGAACCTCTAACCCCTCCATGCGCTAAAGTTCTAGCAGATGAAACACCTCATGTTGGTACAAGTTGGTACAAGACGAGGTGCGCGGACAGTCCCCTGTCCTATCAGCCTCCATGTGACAAAGAACCATGTCAGTTTCTCCTTGAAACTGGACAGTCCTCTTTACAAAAGCCGCAGAGTTCACGCGCCTCAGCAAACCCTGAGGCCAGAGCTACACACATCCCTTTGAGCTGCTGCTCAGAAAAGCAGGGCACGTCTGCAGTCCTTCTGGTAAAGAGGAGGCAGCACGCGGACCCGATCACTAGACCTCCAGAGGCCAGGCAGTGGGGGATCTCCACCAGCCAGCCCTCTGCCACTGCGGGGCCTGACAGCCAAAGCACCACAAAGAGAGAAGAAAATTCCCAGCCCAAGCCCAGAGCACTAGAAGGGCTCCTCCCCATTTCTGAGCGACATCCCGAGTGGCATCTGCTAGGAGGAGCTCCCTTCCCCCAAGCTCTGGGTTTGATACAAGATGAGGCTGCGGCTGCCACAGCTGTAGACACCAAGAGGAGTCCTCTTTCCATCCGAGGAACCGCGACCTACGTACAGCCAGGGCCGCACGGAAAAAGGCAGCCAGCGTCTCAGTCTCCCTGAAGCTCAGCGGGGAAGTGGCCGGAGGGAGGGCACGGGAAGCCGAAAGCATGCATTTCACAGCAGAAAAGAATGGATGATGGTGGCACCAGACCAAACCTGCTAACGTATGCACAGCCTTCGGAACGGCCCCTGCTCCCACGCACATCCCTGCGAGCTGAGTTCCGATGATTGAATGTCTATTATAAACTGCCAGCTCCCTGTGCTTAGAGTTGAAGGGCCTTCCAGGTAACGAGTAGGAAATGAAGCTTTGCCAAGGATGGGAAGGAGTTCTTTCAGTTCCAATGGCAATCTTCTCAAATCTCTCTCTCTCTCTCTCTCTCACACACACACACACACACACACAGTGATTTCAGAGAGGAAGGGAAAGGGAGAGAGAGAAACATCAATGAGAGAGAATCACTGATTGGCTGCCTCCTGCACATCCCACACTGGG